CTCCCCCCCCCCCCATGCTGAAGAGGCTCATCCCGCCCCTGCCACCACCACCACCACCACCACCGCTGTAGCGGGTGCTGCGAGATGAGGAGAACATAGTGGCCATGATGAGAAGGGGTGGAGTCTGCTGCTCTGTCTTCTCTGGTGGAGGGAAACCGGGAGAAGTGAAGAGGTGAGGGGGAGAGGCGGCTTTAATACTGCTGCAGCCCCGCCCACAGCTGCTGCTGCTGCCAAGTTGACCACACCCACCTGTCACTGGAGCTGGAGCTGGGGGGCATGCAGGGCCAAACATGCCCCCCCCCAGCCTCCCCGCTCTGCTCCCCCCCGCCCCTGCTCCTCCCTGTCTTCACATAAGAGGAAAAAAAAAGGGAATTCAAGAAGATAACTGTAGTGTGAACAACAACAACAACAACAACAACAACCACAAACTGACATCGATAACAGAGAAACGGTGACAACAGCAGATCAACAACAAACAACAACAACGACCTCCAGCCGTCACAGTAATGACCACAGCGACAACAGCAACTTCATCTGATTGTAGCCAATCAGATAACAACTGCAACAATTATGGTTCTTACAATAGCAACAGTTACAGTAAAGATCGCAAACACAACCGCAACTACAGTAATGAGAGTTTAAACAAAGAAAATGGTCATAAAATAAAATGTGGTCGTGGACGTTGTCGTGGACGACGTTCTGCAGCTGCCTCTGTTACAGCCTCCGGCTTCTGTTACATAACTGACAGCTCCTTCAAAAAAAAAAAAAAGAAACTGACACCGACGCCACCTTCAGGTGATGTGTATTCTGGGAAAACGCCCTCGGCCACAGATGCTGTGGTTGATTATTGGTTTATGGTTGTTTGGTGGAGGAGTTATTTTTATAGTTGATTGGTCGGTTGATTGGTTGTTCAACAACATTGGTTGTTGTTGGTTTATGTTTGCCTGGTTGTTTAGTTGATTAGTACGGTTGGTTAACTAGGTCGGTTGGTTAGACGATAAGGTGCTTTCTTGGTTAGTAGGTTTGGTGATTAGTTGTTGGCTTGTTTGGTTAATCGGTCGGTTTCTAGTCGATTGGTTGACGAGTTTGATTGGGTGATCAGTTCATTTCTGCCAGGTTGCTTAATGAGTTGTGATGTTGAATGGTTATCTGTGAATGGTTCTAGATTAGTCTGTTAGTTAACAGCTGTTTAAGTGATCATCTGTTGGTTGTTTGATTTCATAACGAAAGGTTTGGTTGATTGTTTGTCTAATTATTATCACTTTATCGACCTGTATTTGAT